CGTCCCATGCGGGCTGTTCCTCTGGCCTGTGCCCCGTGCCCTATGATAGACTGTCGTCCCATGCGGGCTGTTCCTCTGGCCTGTGCCCCGTGCCCTATGATAGACTGTCGTCCCATGCGGGCTGTTCCTCTGGCCTGTGCCCCGTTCCCCGTGCCCCGTGATGGACTGGCGTACCATGCAGGCCGTTCCTTTGCCTTGTGCCCTGTCTTCCAGGGAGAGGTTATCTGGTTACCCCGTGTGAGCAGCATGGAAGATGAATAATGGACAGACTGCTGGATGATAGGATGGATGTATTTATTGTATATTCAGTACAATAAGGAAACCAGACCATTGCTTTGCTCGTAAGGTATAATAACAGAGTGACTGTCTCAGAGTGTTGTTTTGCACTGTACTATCATATGCATTTTATTCTTAAGGAAAAAAAAATGCCCATTTAGTTAAACAAGATTTTTCAGTGAAGCATTTCGCTGCTTATAGGATACTGACCACTGCTAGCAACACCCACCCCAAACCATTATCTGCCAGCAAGCATTCTCCAGTTACAGTCGTATTTTACAATTACTAACTCCAAACGTGCTTCATAAATTCCAGTCTGGATTTAGTACTAATTTTGACACCGAAAGACAATGTTCATGTATGTATAATGTTCCTTCAGATTCAGCTGCTGCAATTGACTGTAACACATTAATCCTGAGCTGCTGGAATGAAAAAGGTCAGAAGGGCAATTTTTAGATGCGTTTTTATAGAAATCTTACTCAAATATGGTTATCGACCCCTAACAGCATTAAGTGCAAAATCACTCTGAAACTTGGATTTGTGACTTTCATAACTAATCACAATAACGAATCTCAGAAGCACATAACAATACACCAGGAGAACTTGGAACATATTGCTTACCATCACTCATACCAATAAAGTTAAAAGTAACACAACATCTCTGTTATTTCCAACTGAGTGTATGTAACAGATTTCTTTCTGTTGTTCTTTACATTGCAGGTCAAAAAGAGAAAATCACGTCAGCATAAGTCTCAGAGACGAGCATTTTAAGAGAGACTAACCCGTCCCGCAGTACCGGCTGGAGTTCTGGCTGCTTCATTTGCATTCCAGTGTATGAACAGAATGGAAAAAAATATGACAACTCTGGACATACAGTTTTCATTATCAGGAAATAACACTTGGGCCCAATATTCATTTACATACAAATGAAGTTTTCATTCATAGCTTAAAATAATTTAAATATATACACCCAACTCTTTAATATTAAAAAATAATTCAACATTTAATTACATCAATAAATATTTAAATATATAGTTCAAGTAAACCTACATTTATTTACCTGCGTAAGATTAATTAAAAGGAATGTCTGCAGTTTTATTTGACTGGGTGACGGTGGAGGTAGAGAAGCATCCAGGCAAATTTAAAGCAGGGTCTGTGTTTGCAGGACTATTGCAGTGACTATAACTTCAAAAGGGCAATTTTAATAGCACAAGTGATTATTTCAATCATTTGGTTATAATTTATTCAAAATGTTACATACTGATTCTCAAATAGTGTCTCTAAATGCTGTTTAAATCAACAAATGCATTTAGACCGAGCCTTTAGTGACCCTGTCCAGCAAAATGACAGAATATGGTTTACGTGTTTGTGTCTACACTCTTTGAACTTTCCGCTCTCTTTGCCCAAAGGTCAGCTCAAACGGAAATGCAGTTCATTTCCCGACAACAACTTGTCCTGTCTAAGCATGTATCAGCCAAAGCAACTAACTCAACTAACCTTACACATCATGCAGAAATAAACTCCCCAAACCACCTGCCTAGATCCTGACCCACCAGGGATTCACATCAGTAGCTGGGTGGCTTTTTCCCGAATGACAGAACATAACTGAGATGACAGAAAGTGGCAGCTGTTAACCAAAAGTATCATTTGTTACTTAGTGATGGAAATGGTGTATTTCTGTATAGTAATAAAGCCAGCAGATCTAGTGAGATCCTGCCTCACTGTTCTTTCTCAGGCCATAGCGTGTTGTGCATTTTGTGACTCCTTAATATTTTACTAAATAGTACAATGTCACTCTTTTTTTATTATACTGAGTGTACCTTAACTAGTTACTTTCTGTTTCCTTTTTCCATTACAGAACTACTCAAAAGAAAAACCAAAAATATGGCTACCTGTTCAAATACTTTCACATAAATGACATAAACTGCTTGCAGGCTGGGCCATAAAAAGGCTGTTTCTCCTGTGGCTGTTGGCTCACTCGCCAGTCCTGTCCCCCTTCCGCCCGCCAGTCCTGTCCCCCCTTCCGCCCGCCAGTCCTGTCCCCCTTCCCTTCGAAATAGCTTCCTTGGGATTTGCAGTCTAAAGAATGGCAAGCACCATTTGGCCATTAGCAAAACACCATTACTGTGCTGTTAGGGTTGATAGTGTTTGCATTACTGGTCCGGATGAGGCCTTTATCAGGGAAATTCCCCCATTGTAACGGTTTCCCAGGTGACACATGGCTGATGGGTGACTGAGTGAGGCCAAGCAAGGCCTCTGGCAAGACGGCAGCCAGGTGAAGCAAAAAAGGAGGCTGTTTTGGTCAAACTCTGTCTGCTTATGATCAGAGTTAAGCCTGAGAGCAAAGAAAAAATGTAAGAATATGGTTGTGAATGATGGGGAAGGATGAGAGAGAAGGAAAGAGAAAAACAAATGAAGCTAAATCGAGACTACTGAAGATTAGATATAAATGGCCGCTAGGTGAATTATGGCTCACATCAAAACACAGTCACAATCATTGTCTTAGTAACAAGTATGATTGATTTTACTTGATCTTTCTGTTTTATCCTTCCTTACTCTTTGATTCTATGGTAGGGTTTTGTACAGAGGACAAGGACACAGGAGTAGAGATGGGCTGTGCCGGCTTGCTAGACACCTGGGAGTCCAGATCCATTGCATCTGGACCGAGGAATGATTCAGGTGTTTTACTGACTGGGAGAGGCGGTGATACAGCAATGGGCGCAGCTGTATGACCACTTTCTGTGCTGGTTCCACCACACCCTCCATCTGTAGTGATTTTGCTGTGATCTGGGTCTCCTACAAGACAACAGGAAAGATTGGTGAAAACCTTACATAAAGTACGAACAAATACTGATTAGAAAAGCAAGGTGCCATACTCACTGACCTCCACAAGAACAGAGGTACTCATGTCCTCACTGAGAGCCAACAAATGGCCATAATTTGCCATCTTACCTTCATGGGTCTGAGTACCTTAACCCAGCAACCTTAGATGGACCCCATAAGGGATCTGAGCTGGAAGAGCTGGGGACAGGTCCTTCAAAACATGAAACCCCACCCGGTGGCTACTGAAATGAGGTTTCTATATCATAGGGGACCGTTACAATTTATCTGCATAGGTGTTAACTCTGCAGATGATAAGGATGCATTGAACATGGTTCTTTGTGCTTAACTCACCACTGGAGCCCCAAGGATCAGAAGAGGCTTCTCCTGTGGTACTGTCACCTCTCCATGGATCTGAGTCGGCAGGATGGGCAGTGGATGTACCATTTCCTCCCCAAGGATCATTGCTTGCAGGAGGAGCACTGGAGGTCTCTTCACCTCCCCAAGGATCATTGCTTGCAGGAGGAGCACTGGAGGTCTCTTTATCTCCCCAAGGATCATTGCTTGCAGGAGGAGCACTGGGGGTCTCTTTATCTCCCCAAGGATCATTGCTTGCAGGAGGAGCACTGGAGGTCTCTTTATCTCCCCAAGGATCATTGCTTGCAGGAGGAGCACTGGAGGCCTCGTTATCTCCCCAAGGATCATTGCTTGCAGGAGGTGCATTGGCGGTCTCTTTATCTCCCCAAGGATCATTGCTTGCAGGAGCAGCAGTGGAGGTCTCTTTATCTCCCCAAGGATCATTGCTTGCAGGAGGAGCATTGGAGGTCTCTTCACCTCCCCAAGGATCATTGCTTACAGGAGCGGTAGAGGTCTCTTTACCTCCCCAAGGATCGTTGCTTGCAGGAGCAGCAGTGGAGGTCTCTTCACCTCCCCAAGGATCATTGCTTGCAGGAGGGGATTTGGAGGGCCCATCACCTTCTTGGGTATCCACAGTCCCCTTCTCTATTGCAGAAGACTAAGGGAATATGAGAGAGCATTCCCAACAGTTAAACTTCGAAGAAGTTCTGTGCAACTAGAAGCAGCTGTATGATCTTGATAATCCCAACTGGCATAAGACTGCTGTAGGGTGCCGGGGTAGTTACTCAATACAAAGTCTCAGTCCCTATTTTATAGTTCTCATCTGTCATTATTATATCATGCATACAACTTCCTCTTGTTTTTGAACAAACAGAACAGAAGCCATGTATGGTAAAAGAATGAGAGCGTTTAAGCTTTAGTTCCACAAAGGCTGAGAGACAGCTGCTCGTTCATCATTATGAGGCTAAATGGAAGACAGTGTCATCCTCACCACCAGAGTCCCTGTCCCTCACCAGGGGGCTCTAACGGTCAGGCCCAGGGGATGCACATTTGGCTCAGGTTGGCCTGGATGACTTGGTATTTCGCTATGATGACACCTAAAGTGGCACTTTTCCCCATTCCAAATGGATATGCATTGATTATGACTTTTAGAATAAAATGAAGCAATCCAAAGTGGGAGAAAGTGGGGAAAGTCAGAGAATGGCCACACAGTGGACACTATACGACAGCAGCAGTTTCACAAGCTCATTCCTGATCTCCAGAATACATGCCTTTTCTAAATGGTCAATAATGGATTAAAATGACATGAAATGCATCTCCTGATGGTTTACCTGCGCTGCCATTTCCTTCTTTCTGGCCATTTCAAGCTGCAGAGCAGCCACACCACCCAGAACCCGGTCCATGTCGATAGGGCCAGCTACAGGGGCCGGCGCTGGGGTGGCAGAAGATGCTGGGGCAGGATGATATGAAGAGAACCAACTGTCCATGAGCACCGAGCATGCCCAGGAGGACTCAGACCCCATGCTCTCCCCCAGGTGGTACAGGGCTATCATCCTGCAGTCTGACAACATGCCATTAGATGAACTGGCATCTACTGTATATTGGCCACTGTCTCAGAATGGCATCTTGTCTTCTATCCATCCCTCTATCCCTCCCCATATCCACCCCTCTGTCCATCTATTTTCCATAATCACTTATCTGCCCAAGCCTGGATATCCTGGATGCCAGTCTATCACAGGGCACGCCTTCCCTTGCACGGAATTACATAACTACAAGCAATCTAGAGGCGTCAATCCAGCTACTCGAAGATAACTCGTGTGAACACAAGTAGAACACATTCCCCACACAAACAGAGAGCTGGCGTCATGGAGTTCTTACTGTTGACAGACTTGGCCATCTTCTCTTTGGTCTTCAGTGCATGGCTCCTCTCCTCCTGCAGTTTGCCCGCGTCTGTCAGTAGCAGCATTAGCTGCTTTGCTTTCTCCCTCACATTCACGCCCTGCAGAAGACGGCCTCACACATGAATTCCACTGGACTCATTTCACTGATGCTTATCCAGTCAGGATGGAGTGGATGCACAGCCTGTATGACATCACAGACCCTGGGTGCAATGCGAGTCCGTCACAGTCACACATGCTCATACCTGCAGCCAGTAATTGATGGACTGATCTTAAGTTGAAGTCACCTGTTTTATCAGAAACAGCATGTCTTTGGTTGAGAACAGAATTCAAACTGCTCGCACACTGGCTGCAGTTGGATTCAAACACAAGTAATCCAGATATTTTTAATGCATTGCATATTATTTACTGAGCACACCCTTATTGCAACGTATACCTAAAAGATATTGTACACAGAAGCACATTCATACACACTAAACTGTACTGCTGCAGATTCTTAAATCTTGACTGATCTGATCAAAGATGTACACACTCCCTGCTGCGGTCACACTGCATATGAGCTGCCATTTATCACTTGTGAGTTAGTCAGGGAGATGATTCACAGTTAACTTTCACATCCTTGCTAAACCAGTCACAACACATGCGCAATAAATGTACCTTTTTGGGCTGCAACATTTACAGTTAAATTAATGAGCTGCTTTTTAGGCATATTTTTGGCTGTACATTTTTAATCCGTTTGTTCATCATTCTGACTTCAATTCCAGGAGGAAAAGCAAAGTTCCCGATATACATTTTAAATCTGAAGGGCAAATGCAGAGTCACCAAAATTCATTTTGGAATGTAGCTTAAACAGTGGTTGGCAGGGTTCTGCTAATCTGCTAAACCCTAAAATTAGCAAAACTAACATCTTTTGTTAGCGGATTAGCATTTTTTGCTAACTTTGAAAACCATTAGTGGACCAATTAGCTTCCACTTAATTTAGTTCCGCTAACCGTAAATCCACTAACATTTTTTTGCTGGTAAAGTGAATAAAGTTTAACAGTTAACAACTGTTAAGTAAAAAGTTATCCGGAAAACCAAGAAATCGAACTTCCTGATACAGGCCCCCTATTGTATTTTCTGGATTCTGATTGAGCTATAGACCAATAATGAGCTGAGACCCTCCTTCCTAGTTCCGCCCAAACACCACCATGTTTGTAGTCCCCAAGCAGCTTCACTGAGGGTAAAATGTCAGTATGAGCCAGTTATGAAGTAGTGTAGGGCTGGGCGATATCATATCAATATTGCATTGCGCATGTACAATAATCACCAGAGCTTCAGATGACAGGCGCAACATTTGGCCGGGCGCCAGTTTTTCAGCGCTGTACGGACATTTATTTACGCCCACAATTTGTTAAGCAGTTTAGGAATATGGCTAAAATATTGATGAGGCTTTGTATGACGCCCAAAAGTCATTATTAGTATAAATACTACATATTATGTTTAATAAATGTGTCTGACTTTGAGCTGCAAAAAGTACAATCACACCGCCAATGTCTTATTATCTTGTTTATCCACAAGATCTCCTCTTTTAAAAGATGTCGTGGCTGCTCTTCTTCACCGGAACTTTAGTGCATATTGCACTGAGGTATACCAAACCGTAGTATATCAAACCGTAGTATACCAAACCGTAGTATACCAAAACAGTATTATGTGGTGTGCTCCGCTAATCGAATTTAAGAAACATAAAGTTTATACAGATTACTAACTTTTGGGTACCATAAAACACATCTCATTAATATTTAAGCCATACTACTAATCTTCTTACCGAATTGTGGGCGTAAATAAATGTCCGTATAGCACCGAAAAGCTGGCATCCAGCCAAATGCTTCGTCTGTGAGCTGAAGCCCTGGTGATTATTGCACATGCACGATATAATATCGATATGATATCGCCCAGCCCTAAAATAGGGCTTCTCTGACAAAAACACTTGTAGATCACAAATGGAATATCAAAGAAAAGACATTTTAATGCATATTTATTCCTGAGACTCTACAAAATCCAACCAAACCCAACAGAGTAAGTCCTAAATATCCCCTGCTAATCACTCTAGTCCAACTGAAGGGACTTAGGTGTTAAACAGGTTAAAATGTTAGCTCTCTGTGTGTTTTTAAGGGTTTCAGAGGCAAAAACCAAACTGAAGATAAATTCATATAATAAAAGTTAGTGTTTGGCAGTTATCTTTATCTTCTGCTAAGTTTTTTACTGGTTTATTGATTTAGTGTTCTCGAATTAAACTTTGGAGTTAGCGGATTAGCGGTTAATGAGGCTAACTTTTCGGGTAGTTGTGCCCACCACTGAGCCTAAATACGTAAGGCACACAGCACACGAAAAGGTAAAAAAGCTCATTGCAAAGGCCCTGGAATAACCATGTGTCATGGTCTGCTCCATCCTACCCTGCCCTTCAGCCCCAGTGTGCCCAAGTCCCCAGTGTGTTTTCCCTGTTACGTGGACAGTAGGCTGAGCATGTGGGCCTGGGACTAGCATCCCGCTGGCCAAAGGCCAACCTCATTTGTAAGGTAAATATTATCAGTTTTTCCAGTGTTTGGTATTGTATCTTTTGTTTTGCTTTTTGTCCCCACTTTTGATGTACCTTGTGCCTGAAAGTATTCTGTTCTGCATAGCCATATGTTCCTAGTCTCCCCTGGTGGTGTTAAACCATAGTGTTTGTGAGGTTCCCTGCTTCCCGGTCGTGTTAATTGTAAGTTATTTCACCTGTGTCTTTTTGTTCCGTGGCCTTGTTGATTAGTTGTTCACACCTGCCCTTTGTTAGTCCGCGTTATCAGTGTATTTAAGTGCCTGCCTTTGTTCATTTCCCTAGCTAGTTGTTGTGGGAGGCTGCTGCATTATGTTTGCTGTATTGTCTTGTCGCTGCCTGTGTTGTGTTACCTTGCAAGTAATTTCTTAGCTTGTCATCTAGCCTGGTTCCCATTATCTCTGAGTTCCTTTTTGTGATGAGTTAATGGTCTTGTGTTTAGTCACTTTCCCAGTTATTTTGACTCCTTGTGTTCCTCTTGGTTTGGTGCTTTTTTTCCCCCATTTGTTCCTTTTATTCAAAAACTCCCCTGTTGTCTTGTAGCCGCTAAGTAGACAGTCACCCTCTTTTCCCGCCTGCCCCATGACACCATTTGATCTTCATATATTTACCTGCCAAACGTTTTTAACCTGAAGCACTAATAATTATCGATCCCTATGGGGAAATTCTCTTTACACCTCCTCAAACTTGCAGTGTAGGTAAGAGCGAGCTGGGGGTTAGGGGCCTCGCTACGGGAGCCGCAGACGTGCCGAGCCCAGGCTCGAACCATGACCCCCTGACCTCAGGCTCGAACCATGACCCCCTGACCACAGGCTCGAACCATGACCCCCTGATCTCAGGCTCGAACCATGACCCCCTGATCTCAGGCTCGAACCATGACCCCCTGACCTCAGGCTCAAACCATGACCCCCTGACCACAGGCTCGAACCATGACCTCCTGACCTCAGGCTCGAGCCATGACCTCCTGACCTCAGGCTCGAGCCATGACCTCCTGACCTCAGGCTCGAGCCATGACCTCCTGACCTCAGGCTTGGCCTGCTGAGCCTCCAGCACACGTGGTCATTTAAGGGCCCTTCCACTGATGGAAAAGGGTAACGTGTTTTTTGCAAAAGTTAAAATGGTTTAAATTTTCCCTGTTTTGGACTTTGAAGTCTCATTCAGTCCAACAGCAGATGCTGTCTGGTCATGTATAGACTGAGATACTTTTGTCTCCATTGAAGTGAAGCATTTGCTGCTTTGTTGTTGCTGAGGGGACCCAGTATTCTTGGAAGTTCTCAGGACCTCAGCAGACAGGTGAAATACAGGATTGCTGTGTTTGAAGTTTCATGTGGTTTGTTACTAAAGTTCAGTTGTGTCCAGTGTCCAGTGCTGCCCATGATCCAGTTTGGTGGGACAGTGGTGTGCGGCGAGCTACCTGATCCTTGCTGTCCTTGTCAATGTACTGGAACTCTGTGAGGTACTGGATGACAGAAATGTTCTCCTGGCATTGCTGGGCCACTCGGTCCGAGCCGGTCTTGACCATACACTCCAAAAGAGTCAGGGCCTGAAGCAGAGGCAGGACCGCACCAATGAGGGGCGTGTCACCAACGAGAAGCGTGTCACCATAAATCGTGCCTTTTTTAACTCATTTTCATATGATCACATCTGCACTACTTTTGCTGCACTAAGTAAATATTTCAGGTACTTTTCTGTGATCTTGTGAGTTTTTAATGATTACTGTTACATTATACATTTTCGTCTTTGTTAGCTGAATAACAAACACTGATACACATGCGATATGTATCATGTGCTTTATGTAGAATAAGTATTTTGCTTTTCAAGAAATTTCTAAGAATCTATGTATGAACCCAAACAGAATTTGTACAGAGATTCAATATTCAATTCTTTGTCACTGTACCCCACGGGGACAACTGGTCCTCGAGGGCAGCAAAACACAAGACAGGACAAGACATGTGACATTTAACAATATGTACGGAATACAAAGTTGTCTCTCCCAAAGCAATAACATGAAGCTCGCACATTCAGTAGGTGATCAGGAGCAGCAGGACAGTCTCACGGCCAGTGGCCGGCACTCCCCTTATAAACATGCCTCCAGTTTCAGGAGCAGCAGGACAGTCTCACTGCCAGTGGCCGGCACTCACCTTATAAACATGCCTCCAGTTTCAGGAGCAGCAGGACAGTCTCACTGCCAGTGGCCGGCACTCACCTTATAAACATGCCTCCAGTTTCA